AGGTTAACATCAATCAGTAAAAGCAGACTGTTGCTTTTCCTTTCGGCATGTTAGAGTGTGAATTGGTTTCATAACTTCCTAGCCTTGAGTACCACTAGTCTAATCTCAGAATTCACATATACTGAAATCTGATACTAAGTGTAATCCTATATTTGATCTCAGATATATACTAGGGAGAAAGAACTTTCAAATCATTCATCTTTTGTACAATTGGGCCTTCCACTTTAGGCAGATTTTTAGTTATTTTTCTAGGGCTACCAGTCAATTCCATTATATTTTTCATGGTGAGATGAATAATCCCTTTAACTTTATAAATATTTAACAATGGAATGTTTTCTATAAAACCAAACACATTTTAAAGAAACTATTGGGTTGCCGGGAAAGTCGTGCCTTTTTTTTTTTTTTTTTTTTGAGGTTTTTGCCTTAGGGCATGTGCACTAGCTAGAGAGAGACAGAGACAGAGGGAGGGAACGTAAGGAAATCACCTTCCAAAGGGGGATGAGCACACCACAATCTCTTCTCCTCCATTCTCCTCCTGGGATCTTGGGCATGCATGCACATGCACCCGGTGTGAGTTTCAAGCCACCAAGTATGGGACTCAAACCATGGTCAGCCATGTGGAAGTCCAGCGATATAACTGATACGCCATCTGCTGGCCCCATTCTATGCTTTTCTATGCAAAAATACCTCATTATTTTCCCAACAACCCAGTATGTGACCATATAATGGTGCCCAAATTTTCACTTTGCATAAAAGTGACATCAGTTTCCAAACAAACAACAGATCTCCGTGACAGCTGATGGAAAAATGGCATAGAGTTGAGTCTGTATCACAGATTCTGTGTCATCTAGGAAAGCTTTCAGTTGCAGTAATCGAAAAACCCAACTGACAATGGCTTAAAGAAAATAAACTGGGCCAACACGTGGTGTGGTGGCTAAGGCAGCTGGATCCTAAATTGCTGGTTGCACAATTCGGGTCCTGGTCCCCGGAAACTTGAAAAAAAAAAAAAACACCAGGCATATGTATGTGAGTGCCCAAAATCTTGAGAGGAGAATGGAGAAGGGATTGTGGCATGGCCATCCTCTCTAAAAGGTGCTATCTTCCTTTCCCTCTCTCTCTTTCCAGCAAGTGTATACCCCTATAGCAAAAACAAATGAATAAATGAAATTTCTTGGCCCAACCAATGGAAAACTACAGAAGTAAATGTTGCTAGAGGTAAGAGTTAATCCAGAATCCAATATAATGCAATTTTAAGACATAGTTTCTTTTTTTCAATTTCTTGGATATTTCAGATGAAATCACTTGAGTCAATTCATGATTTTAAATTGGCTTCGAGGAGCTCTAACAGTTACATGAATCCTCATTCATGAAACAGTCAATGACTCAGAGAATCTACGTCAGTATATGCAGGGAAAAAAATGTCTTTTTACCTGACTGAACCAGCTTAAGTAACTGCACTGATTTCAAACCACTTATCAACAGGGATGGTGCATTCAGATTGGCTCTGCTAATCAGGGCCCATCTCTGGGCCAAGTGAGGCTGATTCCATCTAAATCACAAAGATGAGAATCAAGGGAGTGGGTAAGTACCAAGAAGAAATTCAGGCCACTACCCTAAGATGGAAGAGAAATAAATGAATGCTGGGCAACCAATAACAGGTATTCACTACAAATACTTCCAGAATCTATTTCTCATATATTTTTTAGAAAGAAATTTAAGACCTCCAATTAACCAGAACTTCCCATATTTTCTATACGTTACCTAACAGTTTTAGAAAATAGGCATGGGGCCAGCACGTGGTGTGGTGGCTAAGTGTTGGCCTCCCATATGGACGATTATGGTTTAAGTCCCAGATCTGGAGGCTTGCTTTCTGACTTTTCCCCTCTCTTTGGTCAAATTAAAAAATAATGATAAATAAAATTAAATAATTATTAAAAAAAAAACCCACACAGGTTTAAGGGCCATCAGGTGGCATGGTGGTTAAGGTGCTGGATTCCCACATAGACAACTGTGGTTTAAGTCTTGGACCTGGTGACTTGAAAATCACAACAAATAAATAATTAAATGGAAATAACAATAATAAAAAAACAGGTGTAAAGGTTAAGTAAATCATTTCATAGTATTTTATTTCTATAAGTCAGTTTATAATAGCCAGAGACTTTGCTATAAAATGATAATAATACACACTCTATTTGGGGCATTTTTATATTCAGTAAAGTGTCACCATCAAATCACCATCTGATGATTCACAAAATCAAACATACTTTTCAGTGGATCTTTTTAGTGTGGTGCTTAAAAAACCATGCCTTACTAAATATTGTCAGATGAGGACAGCATGCTTTGAGATAGAACAGTCTTCTTTTCGCAGGTATGGCACCATCTTTGATTACGTCATTACACTCACTCGGGAGGACCAATGCTGTTTGCCAGCGCATGAACCTGGTTTTTCACAGCACTTCAGCCAAAGACATTTCCTTCCTCATTAAACTAGACTTACTAAAGGGATACATCAGAAAATATTTATCCATGCAGTTTTATAAGTGACAGGTTTTTAAAAATAGTTTATTTAACTTCATTATAATTTGATCAGAGAAAGAGAGAGTGAGAAAGCAAGCTGCCTGGTCTGGGACTCAAACCTTAGCCATGTGGAAGTCCAGTGTCCTCCCACCTGCCAGCCCCTATAAGTGATAGATTTTTGTTGTTTTCTCACAAGCCCTTATCCCTCACCCTTTCCTAGACTTGCAGTACTTTTTCAAGCTAAAATTCTATACCTCTACTTTACTTGCCAAAATCCAGGAAAGAAGAGCCCATGGTGAAATGAATACTTGGAGTTCACTCCATCTCCTTAGTTGCTTGCAATCTGTCTTCAGTCTTTATTATTTGAATCTGCTTAGAGGTATCAGTGGCATCGACCTTCATCCTACTGAAATATTTACATGCACAATAACACCCTGTTTTGAGTTTGCTTATCTGATTGGTCTTCATCTGTCACCTCTAAGACGTGGCCAGGTCTCTCTCCTACTAATTACTCTCACTGCCCTTCTATTCAAAGAAACCCAAAGGTTTAGTAAGGCTCAGAGTGCTAACATTTTGGCTCCAATCCTGCAGCTTTCTCTTCCATTTCTCCCTTCCTTTACACTGATAATTCACTACTCAAGACAGTGCTTTCTTTTCCCCATGGTTCCCTTGAGGTTCCTTTGGAATCGCTAAAGACCAAATTTAATATTTTTTTCCCTTCCATGAACCTTGCTCTAGTTCTCCTCAAGGTATAAAGCGTTAACCCACTCCATCACTCAGCTCCAAGATACCACCAGCTCTTAACATAAGTAAAATCTTCCTAATTAATCTCTTTTTTGCCTCCTATTTGTTTCTCTCTACAATCACCAGAGTGATCACTCAAACAACCTTAATCTACCGCAGACTATAAGGCCTGACGTGATCTGGCCTTTGTTAATGTTTATTGGCCCAGGCACTGTGCTAAGCCCTTTATTTGGATTAATTCATTTAATCTTGTTAATAATCCTACAGACATGTACTTCTGGAATATCCTCATTTATAGCAGCTGCTGCTGGTGCTGGCTGCTAACAGCTCATACTTTCACCCTTATCCTTCTTTGAAAGTTTGCTCTTTGCTGAGTCACCGAGTTACTCCTCTAGCCTTTCTCACACGCACAAAAACACTGCGTGATTTTCAAGCCACCAGGTCTGGGACTCAAACTGTGGTCAACCATGTGGGAGCCTGGCGCCTTAACCACTATGCTACCTGCTGGCCCCCCCATAGCCAATTTCAATGACTGTCTGATACAGGAATCTAGTGTCCCACCCCCTTACCTCTGGCAGGACAACCTCTGAGGTTCAATTCACTCTGAAGCATGCCCTGTAAGGTCAGGCTAAGCCTGCACTAGGTGGAACTTTCTTCTTCATTCCGTTTTATTACAGATTTCTCCTAAGAGCACTCCCTCAATCAATGCCCAAGAACTCCCATCTCAGGCATTACTACAGAGCAACTAGTCTAAGATACCATTTTATGGAATGAGGAAACTGAGACAAAGAAAGGTGAAATGGCCTACAGCAAACAGAAAATGGGAGTCAAAATGTGAAGCCAGTCAGGCACTCTCCAACCTGCTCTTTTCTCGGATACTGTAGTGGTCATTTCTACCTTCTAGTCAATTCCTGTCTCTGGGCCTTTGTACTTCCTATCGTCTCTGCCTAGAATGTGTTCCCTTTCTCACTGTGAACTGCTTCCTCACTTCTTTCAAAATGTTTTAAATATCCTCTTCAAAGAGACCTTTTCTGACCCTAACCATCCTATCTAAGATATCAACGCTATACCCAACTCTGCTTTAGTTTTATTTCTAGCATTTAATATCTGAAGTAATATTATGCATATACTGATTTTCTGTTACTCCCACTGAAATGAAAACTCCCTGAGTGTAGGAATGCTTATCCTATATACTACTATATTCTCAATGGCTGGTGACACATCTGGCACAGAGCAAGAGCTCAGTGACTACTTGTTACCTTTCTTTTCTCAGAACTGTTATAGGGCTTTGCAGAATTATCCCTGCATGTTAGCAATCTAGAACCACTGAGTTGTCAGAAGAGTCATGACCCATTTTTGCATAGAAAAAATACATCATGACTTTTCCAGCAACCCAATAAGTTATTTAATGCATGTTTATTTTTATGCAAGCTTCTATGCTCTTAGAGGCTAAAAATGATGTTTTATTAACTTGGGAATACCTAAGAGTCATTCAAATAAGGCTACCTCTGACACTCCAATTATCAACTGCAGCTCATCTTTCCAAATGAGGACTAACATCAGGATTTAATAAAAATTATAAACCACAAGTATGAAAAAAAATTACATAAAATTTATAAATTACTCCTATGCATAAGACATAGTAAATACAATTAAATACTTATCATTTCATCTTTATTTTAAAAACAATGACAGTTCCAAAATATAAAAATAAATCTATTTTCAAAGAACCATTTAAATATGGTTTTGAAAACCACAATGCTTTATTTACAACAAACAGTAGTGCAATAGCACTCATAGGTGTTTATGATAAATAAAAATATTATTATAGAACCCTTTTGGGGCAGGCCATTATATTTCAGATATCTACAATGACTATAAAAGCAAATCAATAATGGTCATTAATGTAATTTGTTAATTCAACCTGAATTTGAGCAACCAATATATATTAATCATCTATTTGGGATCTGACCTGTACATCTGAAAATTAAAGTAGAAAGTTAAAGTATCTCATTTTCACTCGGTTTGTCAACAAACACATCCCCAAACATTCTAGTATCTGTAAACTCTATTCAGCATCTGCAATGACTGATTTATAGCCATACAAGAGAAATAAAGGCTCACAAAGCTGGATCCTAGAAGTTCAGATTTTATAAATTTAAAATTCAATAAGTACTTATGCCAAAAAACAACTGGATCCAGAATTACATTTTAAATGATGGTAGAGTCTCTGGGGGGAAAAAAATGGCAACAAAATGACAACAGATGCTGGATATTTCTCTCAGAGAAGTATGCAACATCTCAAATTTCTCTAGTTAGCCTGTTCCAATAGAATTAAAACTAAAGCACATTTACAAAGATTTTTTTTTTCCTCAGTAAAATTTCCCAATTCTAATGTGCTCTAGATTTTGGGCAACAACTCACCCAATAAATCCTTAAAGTTAATATTCACCCCTGAAACATACAATAACATTCTTACAAGAAGCCACTTTCTTGCTATTGAACAAAGGTCAATTGTAAAGCCAATCCAAGTGAATCAGTTCAGAAAAAAAAGTACATTCATCTAATCCATTTAGCAAATACTGCAAATCAGTTTCTACTTGAGCAAAGGAAGAGAAATTTGTGAAACTCTACACTTGGTGTCAGTTTTAACATCGTGTTGATGACAGCCATTTCAGTGGAGGTAGCCAAGTCTCATACATTTGAGGAAGGCAAAAAGCAGAAAAGCATTGTGAAGACTTAGCAGTTCTTGACTTCCAGTGATTACGGGCAATACTGATTATGAGCTTAATTGTGGTGTAGCATTCTTCTGAGTTTCATGTCTCAAACACAATGGATCTTGTCACTGCCTTGGATGGATACACAAGAATAATCTTTTAGCTTATTTTCTCTTTTCTCTAAGGTCAAGTAAAAAATGTGAGACATTTTCATATACCACAAAGGTGATACAGCAGGCTGGAGTCACTCTAATCAAATTGGGGGCAATTCCTTTGTAAAATCCACCGATGCCTTCTTTCCTTTGGAGAGAAAAATAGATTCAGGCTTAATTTCCTAAATAGCTAAATTGAAAATACCAAAGTTTAACTGATACAGGGCCTAGAGCTAGTGGTCAAACCACACTCTGATTTAAGTCCATGTTTTCAGTATCTTCAAGTAATATAGTTTTATAAGTCATATATGGAGGTCTTTTATGGGTTGACTATTATAGACTAAGGAAGAATGAGTAGGTCATCCAAAAACTGAACTGGAAAATACTTTAAATTAAAAATCTTTTAAATGCTTTTATGTATATAAACATCCAAGAGTTTTAACTGATCCATTGCAGGCATTAAACACTGTATGGCTTATATACTGATAAATGCTAAACAACATTAAATATGAGAAGACTTTATAAACTTCATGGAAAAGTAGAATTAAAGTGTGAATTTGTTTTGATGCAAAAATTTTAAAAATCTACATATAGTTTTGGGACCAGCAATTAGCATAATGGCTATGTCACTGGACTCCCATGTAGTTGACCACGGTTTGAATCCCAGACCTGGTGACTTAAACTCACACCAGGCATATGTGCACGTGTGCCCAAGATCCCGAGAGGAGAAAGAAAAAGAAGGGATTGTGGAGTGGCCATCCCCCCTCGAGGGTGGTTTCTGGCTATCTGTCTCTCTGTCTCTGTCTTTCTGGCGAGGTCACATGCCCTATAGCAAAAACCTCTCTGCACGCAAAAAAATCTAAATATAGTTTTATTATAATATACATTTCCATGAAATTTTTGAAGACCTTTCTTATAGTACACAAAAACAGAAGTATTTCCTTAATGCCTAGAATAGGGAATATGGCCTAGGAACTTGTCACTTAGATTGTCATTCAGTACTTCCGGAACTGAACTAAATTTAAACATTCTAAATATTGTGCTCTGGTCTTTCACAGTTAAAAGGAAATATCAGGGTGGATACTTACAATAGTTTATTCTCATTCTAAACAACCAGAATCTCTTTCATACAAAGAGACAAATACAGATCATCCCTGACTTATAAAGATCTGACTTAAGATTTTTCAACTTTACAATGGTCTGAAGGTGACATATATTTCGTAGAAACTGCACTTTGAGTAACCATACAACCATTGTTTTTTCATTTTCAGTACAGAATTCAATAAGTAACACAAGCTATTCGACACTTTATTGTAGGCTTTGTGTTAGATTATTCTGCAACTGGAGGCTAAGTGTTCTGAGCACATTTAATGTAAGCTAGGCTAAGCGATGATATTCAGTAGGTTAAGTATATTAAATGTTTTCTTGGGCTTACGCTATTTTCAACTTACAATGGATTTATCAAGAAGTAACCCAATTATAAGCTGAGAAACACTTGTGTCTGCATGAATTACAGTGCCAGTAGTAGATGTGGGGACCTTCTCAAATGTATTAAACTGGTTGTTTTATGACTTCTTATATTCAATGCCATCTAAATATATAATGCCTAAATTTTAATTCATTAGTTTTCCAAAACACTTTCACATATCTATTTTGTTTTTATAACAACCTTGCCAGCCTAGATATTCTAATTTTACAAATGAAGAAATCAAGCCTCAGAGAGATTAAGACTATGGTCACAATAGGCAGTAAATGGGAAAACAGGGACCACCAGTCACGTATTCACCACAGTAAACTGACCCTTGCTATTAATAAAATTCACATCAACTGGACAGTTTAAGATATGCAAAATACCACCTCAGAGCAATTTTGATATCCTGCATGCTCTTACCTCCATGTCCTTGAGATTACATCAATTACACCACTATAAAACATGTGCTGATCCTGAAGACGAGCTCTTATGACTTGATATGGGTATGTTGCTGCTACAGCAAATATTTTGGATAGTGCTGCAACAGATATATATTCCACAGTGCTCTAAAATAACAATACAAAAATATTTACGTTTTGCTTTAGACAAAATTTCTTTAAAAATGCAGCAGTAGAGGCTAGCAGGTGGCATGGTGGTTAAGGCACTGGACTACCACATGGCTAACTGAAGTTCAAATCCCAGACCTGGCAGCTTGCTTTCTCACTTTCTCTCTCTCTCTCTCTGTCTATCTCTGGTGAGTACACATGCCCCATTGCAAATTAAAAATAAAAATAATACATAAAATGAAATAAGCAATTCTTAAAAAAATATATAGCAGTAAAAATCACAGGAGGAGAGAAAGAAGAGCAACAAGGAGATACTGCAATCCCAGATAAAGAAGGATCAACAGGCAGATTCATGCCATGCAGCTTGGTTTGAGTTCATCAGCAGAGAACCAACAACCCAGCCTGCTGTTGGGGAGGAGGTCTTTCTACAACTAGAATTACCATATGATCCAGCAATCCCACTCCTCGGTATCTACCCAAAGGACAGAAGAATTCTTCATTGGAAAAGTGCTTGCTCATTGATGTTTATTGCAGCACTATTCACAATTGCTAAGACATGGAACCAATCCAAATGTCCCTGTATGGATGAATGGTTTGAAAAACTGTGGCACATATACTCTATGGAATACTATTCAGCCATAAAAAACAACAAAACCCTAGCTTTTGACAGAAAGTAGAAGAATATGGAAGATTTACTGCTGAGTGAAGCAAGCCAGGCTATGAAGGAGAGACACTGTATGTCCCCACTTAATATATACTGAGTGTCTGCACTCTATGACTGAAACTGATTGACCTAGGGTTGTCACAAGAGATGGGGGTAAATGCCAGATGTGGTGTGTGTGGAGGAGTGGGGCCTAAGGAAGGACATTTGGAGGAGGGATACAGAGGCAGAGCACTGACGAGATGGGGAGGTGTGGTGGTATTGGTTGAAGATATTTTGATCAACGTGGATATCCCCCAGGGGATGATTTCTCGCTTTCTGTCTCTCTCTGTCTGGCGAGTGCACATGCCCGAAAGCAAAAAAACCTCTCCAAAAAAAAAAAAAAGAACTCACAGTTTGGGAATAAAATATTATTTTTCTTTGTTTTCTTCTGTCTCTCTCTGTCTGTCTGGCGAGTGCGCACGCCCGAAAGCAAAAAAACCTCTCCAAAAAAAAAAAAAGAACTCACAGTATGGGAATAAAATATTATTTTTCTTTGTTTTCTTAATGAGCTATTGTTATGTATTTTACCTATCTCTAACTGGATCAATGGTTGATACTCAGACATTTTTTTTTTCTGAGAGATTTTTTATTTTTTTTTGAGAGGTTTTCGCTATAGGACACATGACTTCGCCAGACAGACAGACAGAGAGAGACAGAGAGACAGAAAGTGAGAAATCACCCCCCGGGGGGGATGATCACACCACAATCCCTTCTCCTCCATTCTCCTCTTGGGATCTTGGGCACGCACGCACACATGCCCGGCGTGAGTTTTAAGCCACCGGGTCCAGGACACGAACAGCGGTCGACTACATGGGAGTACAGCGACATAGCCATTACGCTAACTGCTGGTTCCTGAGAGATTTTTGTTATAAGGCGCGTGTGCTCGCCAGACAGACGGAGAGAGACAGAGAGACAGAAAGCGAGAAATTACCCCCCGGGGGCATGGCCATGCCGCAATCCCTTCTCCTTCATTCTCCTCTCGGGATCTTGGGCAGGCACGCACACATGCCTGGTGTGAGTTTAAGCCACCGGGTTCGGGACTTGAACTGCGGTCGACTACGTGGGAGTCCAGCGACATAGCCATTATGCTAACTGCTAGTCCCGATTCTCAGACTTAAAAAAAAAAAAATTATTTAACTTTATCTATTTTAATTTGATCTGAGAGTGAGAGAGAAAAAGAGAGGAAGAGAGGGAGAGAGAGGGAGAGAGAGAGAAAGCAATCTGCAAGGTATTGAACCGCAGTTGGCCATGTGGGAGTCCAGTGCTCTTAAGCGTCACACCACCTGCCGGCTCCAAATTTTTTTATGATAAAACTCTTATATCCCATAGTCCTCTACATAGAAATCATAAACTCTTCTTTCATTGGCTATGTTAAGATTATCTTTGTTAATTTGTGAGATTGTCTGTTGTGAGATTTTTAATCAATATGTTTTCCTTTAGAACTGTACCTTACAGTAAAGAACATCAATAAAGAACATAGACAGTTCAGTACATACTTGCAGAATAACCATTGGAGCAGGTTTTAAATGTTCACAACATAATGTTAAATGTTGAAGGAGGTGAATTATATCCTCTATTGCACATCATATTAAACATTAATGGTCTTTTAAAGACCATTCTGTACCCCCATAAAGATGTGTAACTATCTGTAAATCATAAATTACAATAAATACTTAAAGAGAAAAAATATATAGAAAAACAAATATTTAAATTAAATATTTAGGAGCATTTTGGTTGAGGGTGCTGGACTCCCACATGGTT